TCATTCTGAAAATTTAATTAATCTCTTAGTTTATTCATATTTAGCTGCTTGGTCTGAATTTCATGTGTCAGTCCTCAGTTAGTTTCCAAAGTAATATCTGTAATTACTTGTACTTGAATCACAATTAGCCACCTTAACTGGAGGAGAAGGGCTGCCGTTAACAGTTTATCTTGTAGGGTATTCATGCCAAGAAACAGATTATTTTAAAAAAATTTTTATCAGCTGGATAGGGATGGGTTCGATCTATCAATCAGGCATGTGAGCTCCCAAAGAGGCTGTAGAATTGTTATTTCTAGCTCTGTTTAGGCATAACAAGAATGCTTTAAAATGCTTCTTGAAGGCATATTTTAGTTCCTTGCTTTTCATGCCCATTACACTTCAGAAAGTGTAGCAAACTAGCCAAATGTGTGAAAATAACATTTTTGATCCTCCTTTTCCTTTCTGTTTAGTAAGCATTTTATGATGGTTTTTCCTGTTGTTCTTTCACAGCATAGTGAAAACTGCTCTTATCCCCCCCACCCCCACCCCCAATCCAGACTGAACACTCAAAACACTTTTATTTTGTATGTCATTAATAGAAAAACCTGTAAAACCTTGTAAATCTTCTCCAAGGCTCCAGCTGAAAAGCAAAATATCTGGGACATTTTCATGAGTGGGAATCCTAATTCCTTGGCTGTGACACTGTTAAACTCAGAGAAACAAAACTTCAGACATGGAGGACTGGTGACAGAAGCCTGTTTTTATGTGCAGGATCCCAGCATTACCAGCATTTAATTAATGCATTGTTCAAGGTCAGCACATCACTGCCCTGATCTGCAGGTTGGTGCTTTGCTACTGCAGACTCCCCTTTAAGGGATTCCACACCTATTGTGCCAGCTAACAACTGTTTGCAAGCCAGAGCTCTGGAAACACCGCTGGTGAAAGGTTACTTTTCCATATCTGCATTAACTTGGAAGTGATAGCACAGGAAGTCAGATCATATCAAATGATAATTCGGATATGAGAAGCAAAAGGATTGTTTTCTTCTTACACCTCTTTTATTGCACTTTGTTTTAATATGGAGATACAGACAAAGACAAGAGTGGGTGTTTTAGGAAATTTCAGCAATAATCCTCCAGCACTGACAAGCAGAAGGATCACTTCATCATCATAAGAGATGCTTTAAATTCTCATGTATTTGTTACATAAAAATAAGGTAAGTTGAGGAGTAGTGTATTTATCTGTGTTTTCCACTGAGGGGACAGGAATGCAACACTCTGAGGAGAGCAGGTTTTCCATTCCTTTTCTATACTTCTCTGGTTTCTTTGCATTAAAAGAAGCATCAATATCAAAATAGTCAGCATTTTTAAGGAAAAAAAATATAAAAATCCACGAACCTCAGATAGTAACTCAATAGATTACTTTTTTTGAAGCCATTTTGTACCAATTTCAAATGTTGACATGTGTTCCAGATTTTTTATTTGGAACCAGTTGGCTAGTAATGAAAATTACTGTTGTCTTTGACTTATATTCAACATTTCTAATGCCTTCTTCTAAAAGATAGTTTTAATAAGAAATAAAGAAACTTTTATTAATTCAAAACTTCATAATGTTTTGTTACTCACAGAGGTCCAAGAAATGTTTATTTTATGTAGGCATTCAATGTCTGTGTCTGATATTTTTGTTCCTAAAGGACTGGGAAAGAAATATTTGTATTTAAACTTTACTGAGAATAAGTGCTTAAGTACGAGCTTGGTGTATGAGCCATGGTGTTCCATAGTCAAAATTGAATGTAACATGATGGTTTGTGGCAGCCACAACTAGGGAGCGTTCTCAGTGTTGGAGCTTTGGGATTTATAAACCTAAATCAGGTTTTCTTTTCTTTGTCCTTGAGCTCTTGCTTTTTGTTGTTGGTTGGTTGTGGGGTTTTTTTGTTGTTGTTTTTATTTTGTTGTTGTTGTTGTTGTTGCTGGCAGGTTGAACACTGCTCTCCAGCATTTCTATATGATTATAGAATGTGGTGGAGGAGATGGTAAGTGGTAGACTACAGCTACTCACTTTAAGCTTCTGGACTCCTTGCGTAGGTAATGAGCTCTGGAGCTTGAGACTAAGGCAGAAAGGTGTCAGATGAGATTTCATTGAGTGTTCTCACTTGTATGATTAAAACATTACTTCAGTTTTCTTCATATTATTTTAGATTGTTGAAGTTACAGATTGCTCATACAAACTCTAACCATTGCAAAGTTGTTGCCCCAACAACTGAAGACTGTCAGACTGGGAGTTTCCTCTCCATGCCTTCCTTTAGCTACTTTATATGAAAGGCAGATGTGTATTACAAGAAGAAACACCAGGTTGCAGTAAGATTGAGAAGAGTGGGAAGATTACCCCTTATACTTCATCATTCACTGCTTTGGTGGTAAAACCTAAATAGTGAGAAGATACTAAATCGTCCTTACAGACACACATTTCAAAGTGTTTGGTTGGCTCTGAGAGAGTGAAGCCAGGAAATGGGAGTGCCTGCTCACCCTTTCCTTCCAGATCAGCCTGGAAGGAAAGGGCAAAAAGAATCTGTTAAATCTGTGATTCTGCGAGATGTTTTGAGAGTTTCATAATTGGTAATTATTAAGGTGCCCTAACGGAAAATAAGGGCAAGGGAACTGATGAGTGGGTTACTACTAAGCAAGGTTTAATCTGCTGCAGAGGCCTTTGGTCCCTTGTGAAAATCCTGTCAATTTATGACATAGTCAAACATTTGGGAATGCTTGAAATAAAAATGTGACTATTACTGACAGAAAATGAGGCAAATGTACACGTTAATTGGAATTACATAAATTAGACTGGAGGAATTAATTAAAAAATAGTAGGCATGTATCTTGAAATTGGAAGGTTCTCTCTCAATATTGGAAAAGGCATGGTAAGATTGCAAGATAGCTCCAGTATAAGAAAAGCTAATTGAAACTGGCTGGTCAACAGCCGGTTGAATATGAGCCAGAAATGTGCCCTGGTGGCCAAGAAGGCCAATGGCATCCTGGCCTGAATTAGGAATTGTGTGACCAGCAGGAGTAGGGAGTTCATTCTTCCCCTGTATTCGGCGTTGGTGACACTGCATCTTGAGTACTGTGCCCAGTTCTGGGCCTCTAAGTTTAGGAAGGACATTGAGATGCTTGAGCATGTCCAGAGGAGGCAACGAGGCTGGTGAGGAGCATTTGAGGGAGCTGGGGTTGTTCAGCCTGGAGAAGAGGAGGCTTAGGGGTGACCTTATTGCTCTCTACAACTTCCTGAAGGGAGGTTGTAGACAGGTGGGGGTCAATCTCTTCCATTGGGCAGCAAATGACAGAACAAGAGGACACAATCTCAGGCTACGTCAGGGAAGGTATAGGTTGGACATTAGGAAAAAAATTTTCACTGAAAGAATAATAAAGTATTGGAACTGTCTTCCCAGGGAAGTGGTGGAATCTCCATCTCTGGATGTGTTTAAAAAAAGACTGGACATGGCACTCGGTGCTATAGTGTAGTTGAGGTGTTAGGGCATAGGTTGGACTTGATGATCTTAGAGGTCTCTTCCAACCTCATTATTCTGTGATTCTGTGAAACATTTCTTTTATTAAAATAATAGCTCCTATGTGTCCGGAATAAATAGGAGTTGCAATTAAATTCAGTTAACTATCCCATTTTCAAGATCTCTCATTTATTATATATGCACCTTGAGAAGTTCACTTCATTAGTTTGTTTCATAGGACTTGCTGCTGTTGCAAAGTGCTTGGTTTATAGGTTCATGGGTCAGTTTCCTCCATCAAAACAAATGTTTCTTCCCCCTTAGGTGCATAAGTTTTGATGTCTCATCACTCTGAATTTAGTTCAAACTTGTACATTTACTAATTTGTTTAGTTTCATGAAGGGATAGTAATACTGAAAGAATTCTACTGATAAACATACCGAAATTTAGGGGAATAATAGAGGTGTGGGTTTTATGGGTTGTGTGATGCTCTTAGTCAGTTTTATGCTTACGTTTTTAAGTGTCTTCTAGAATTGCCTTGTCTGTTGTAAAATGCCAACGTCACATGTTTTCCAAGTTGCCTTTGAGGGCAAATTCTACAGTTCACTTAGATGTTTTCCCCAGGTACTTTTTAAAAATGTTCCCATGTTTAATTCTGTTATATCTCTGCTGTATTATCCTCAGATCATGTTAAATGTTCATTCTTCTCAGTTGCCAGATGGGTCTTCAAATGGCTGCAGGATTTTACTTTTCCTGGCTGTTAAGTAGTGGAGTTCCTTGTCTTGTTTCTTGGAGTCGGTAAAATTGTTGAGATTGCCATCTTTAGCAGAAGAGTGTGTAAGAGTCCTCAGCAAGTTGCCCACTGAGTAAGGTGTCTTACTAGTCCATTCTGGTATATGCCCTTCCTAATGAATACCCACTACACATGTCATTGAAAAATAAAATATTTCTTGCAGTCATGATGGAGTGGTTCCTTTGTCTTCCTCAGTTACTTAAATTTCATGCTTTACCCTTGCATTGGTCTATTACCAATATCCTTTAATAGCGATTCAAGAATCCATAGAATGTCAATTATCTGGGTATTAAATTGTCTTCATGTCCTAGTTTTACCAGATGCACATGCTGTATAAGCCAGCCTCTCATTGGTTTTAGGTTTTGGAATGGAACAGTACCTTCAAGTAGAGCTTTCTCACTATGTCACTACACAACACACAAAAGCACGATGCGAGCCGCTCTATTGCAAAGGTAAAAAGAGGAAGTTTTATTTCTGACCCCAACATTTATACTTTTCCAAATGTGACAGTGGATTGGAGGGTGAACATACCACCTCTCCAATGACACTGGACAAACCACCAGTACATCAAACCTCTCCGCCTCCACAAAGGAATGCAAAACAATAGATTGTTTACAGAAAGTTGTGTGAGGAAGTTTTCTACAAGAATGTAAACTCAGATGGCAACATACGTACTCTGTAATAAATTGAAGTATGCATGCTAACAGTGGACCTTGGTGATTCTCTTAACAGGAAATTTAAAGTGGATTGTTAAAATAGGAGTTTGCTCTTCATGGCTTCAGCACTTTGGATCCTGTAAAAGTCAGTAATATTTATTCTTTTGTATGTTGGTGAGTTTTCTGGAATAATGAAATTTTAGTTGGAATAATGTGAGCCTGATGCTTTACATAAGAATGGGAAATGTGACACCAGGGTACAGAAGTTTTCAGTGACCTTGTTCCTGGTCTGTACTGAAATTGCTACAGTAAGCAAATTGTTGTTATCAGGCAGAGCAAGGAGTATTTGTTCTGTGGGGAAGCCACTCTCAAGGGATACTTTTTAGATTATAATGAAATTCCTATTTCATCAATTTAGGATTTCAGAACTGCTTTGAAAATTATGGGATCATATGCTGTAAAAATGACAATTTTTTCATGTCTGACATGCAGTGTGTTATAAGCCTGGTTAATACATTTGCTGTAGATTATTTTGTACAAAACTGCATTTTCCCTTCTTAAAAACATGTCTGCATATATAATAATCTGGATCTTAAGTCGACGGTCACCTCTAACAATGTTATGCTTGTTGCCTTGATAGTCTTTGCTTATTAGCTATTCATTAATTTTCTTACTAAATGAAAGGCAAAATGCGGTAGTCAAATCCAGAGGTTCCTGTGTAACTTTGGGGAAGAATCATTTTATTGAGCCAAGGGAAATATGATTTATTATGGAATGTCATCTTTAAGCAAGGAGTGTCTTTTTAGAGAGAAAACCAGCTCAAAACACATCATCATCAGACTTCTCCCACCCATCAAAAACCCAACCAACCAAAACAAACAAAAAACTCTACAACAAAACCCCGACCAAACTAAATCCCCAAAATATTGATGCATTGCATAAGATTTACAAATAAAGCAGTGTTACATACCTTGACCCTTATTCCTGAGTGATAAATATGTGTAATTGCAGCTTGTGTTATCTGTGTTTGCCACCCTTGAAGATGTGTCTTTTTTATTTTGCCTTTGTAATACTTCTCTGCTTATTTGAAAAGACAATTAAATGCTTATCAAAAACTCAATATATGCAATATGCAAAGCTCAGTGTTATTTAAAACTTACTAATAATGTGTTGCAATTTTAAAAAGTATAATCATAAAGGATAACTTAGCATAAAGTACTCATTTCAGTTTATCTTCATGAAGAACAGCTGAAAAAAAGAGAAAATGTTGTATTTATGAATAAAACCACTAAGAGCTGAATAGCTTTCCTGTATCTTACATGCTCATAACTCTAAATAAATTTGTTTTACAGAAAATCACCTTTCTATTATTTTTACTGTTTAATTCTTTCAGTACTTCGTACTGTGAAAACAATGAGATCTGCTGATAGCTCATATAAGAATATACTGCAATTGTAATTTTGTACTTTGCAGTCTAATATATTTTATGTATATATTTATAAATATAATTTACTATAATTAATATGTACCTCTGATTCCTTTTTATGACCTTGTTTGTCACCTCTTAATGCAAATGCTTGTGTGTATTCTATGATGCATTCCCCTAATAGCCACATATCTGTGTTTATTCTCCAAGTGGGCTAATGCATCTTTATGTCTGCATGTTATTTAAAAAGAAAAATGCTAAAACTTCTCTTTCCAAGTGGAAAGAGACCAGACCATTGCCAGGCCATTATTGTACTTCATTCGATATGTACTGAAAGTGAAGTTTTATCCATTTCAGCTTAATTTATTATGCAAAAAAGTAGTTACATATGAATGACGCTTGAAATGCCTTCAGTAAGCTGTGAACCAGCGAAGTTAGTGAGAAGTTCTCAATAGGTAAATAAAATCTTTGGGCCTTTCAGTACTATTCCCTGGCTATATATGAACAGTTTCTCTGTTCTCAGTTCTGTGAAAAGAAAAGAGAAGAAAAGGAAAGGAAAAGGAAAAGGAAAAGGAAAAGGAAAAGGAAAAGGAAAAGGAAAAGAGAAGAGAAGAGAAGAGAAGAGAAGAGAAGAGAAGAGAAGAGAAGAGAAGAGAAGAGAAGAGAAGAGAAGAGAAGAGAAGAGAAGAGAAGAGAAGAGAAGAGAAGAGAAGAGAAGAGAAGAGAAGAGAAGAGACCCTAACTTGAAGATTTTGCAGTAGCAGTTTCAATGTCATAACATTTGTTACTTCCCATAGAGTACTCCCAGAAAGCAGTTTTTTTTAATTGTGGAACTGTTTTCTGAGTAACCTGTAAGTCTGTTGTGTGCATTGGGATGCTAAAGGACTGGATGCATTTGATGTTATACTAACACATTAATTTATGCTCTGAAAAAGAACAAGTTGCTCTGGGAATAAAAACATGTAGATTGTGCATTTAATGCACTGTAAGAAGCTAGCACTCTTCAAATAACCTTTTTGCTAGTTCACATTGCTATGTTATGGGAACTGTAGAACTGAAGAGTAAGGAAGTGTAACATTTCCTATCAGTTAAAATAATTATTTTTAAGACTCTGATTTTCTCCCCTTAGCATGCTGTTTACTCTGACAACTCTTCTATAACATATTTGAATGAACTTTTTAATGAAACATCTGTTACAGGTCAGAGAATAGGAATTGTTTGCAACTTAGACTCTCAAAATAACCCAAAAGGAGATTTTTGGAGATGACATGGTTTCTTATGCCATAGCAAGAGTGCAAATGAAGAAATAGTCTGGCTTAGTGTTGAGTCATTTCATGTAATACTTTGACATGCCTGTCTTTTTCAGAAGAAAGGCTTTGTGATATGCTGATAATGTTCATACTTACAATTACCTTAAATTTTAACTGATTATAATCACAGCAGTTACCAGAAGCTGTGAAGGGTCATTTCCTGCTTAGTCACAGAGCCTTTAGTTAAGGAAAAGTTGAGAACTCAAGATTTTCTTAGATATTTTGTTGGATATTGATGGCTAAATAAGGCTAGGTACTGGAAATGGGACTGTCTGGTTTCTTGTGTCACAGAATCAAGTATTTTAGGTGGTGGAAGGGGTTGGATGTCCTAAATATTTGTTCTTGAGGCAATGGATGAAATAAACATGCTGGGAAGATGGGGTATTGCACGTTGCTCACAGTAACCTGGTAACAGTAACTGGACAAATGAGCTTGAAAGTTTTAGGGCTGTGCAGAAGTTGTGATGTTGTGTGGCAACTCCAGTTTTATGGGCTAGAATCAGAAGCTGTAAAGGCAATGGCTTTCACTATTAATGTTATCTTATTGATAAAAATGGGCAAAAGATTGTCCTGCAAAAGAAGGTCTTACCTGAAGTCTGGAAATGAGTGCAGCTTCTTGCCTTCCTTTAGTCTAAGCTATTAGAATTCATTGTATAAATAGAATATTAAATGTTTGAATCATGTCTGTCCATTCACGTAGTCATTGTTTTGTTTACAAAGAAATACTAAGCAACAAAACAAAAATAATACTCTTAGTATTAATTCCCAGTGCATGAGACCTCTGAGATATTCTGTTCTTGCTCAGCTATTAGAGATACTGGGTGTGTAACTCTTGGACTCAACAAAGCAAAAGGATTTTGGACCTTTAAGCAGCTGACAGCTGCTTATTTTTAGCATTTTCTTTACCAAGCAGTAATAGTTTATTGAATGCCTTACATGCATTTTATTGATAGATTTTTCCATCTACTATTTCCCCATATTTGCAGGAAAGAGCAAATAGCAAATTTTCATGTCTTATTTTGTGCTGACTTCACCATATTGTTAACAACAGGATACTTTACAGTTTAACCAAAAAAACCCCACCACAGCCTGAAGGCCATGGAGAAAGGGAGACAATGTTGAGAGGAAAAAGAAAACATATTTTCTAACATATGGAGAAGGCTTGTATTAAAAATTGCAAAGATGCATTTCATTAACTAGGAATGGGCAGTGCAGGTTTCATGGATTTTCGGTCACCCTTGTGAATTTTGGCATAGATTTTGCTAGTATAGTGAAAGTCTCAGGAAAACTTTTTTAAAAATTAAATTAAAGTGTTTCTCATGCCTTTCTAATTAAATAGGAACTTCTGCAGATGGTGATTAATGTCTTGCCAACTCTTGTTCTGGTTTTTCCTTGTTGAGATTATTAGGTGAGGTCATTGTTCTGTCAACAGAATTGCATTCTGATTTTAATCAGAATAAAGCTTACCTTTCAAAACTTGCCAGGGTCTTGCCTGTATCATGTGTGTATTTTTGTTTTATTTGTTAAGCAGTTAAGGCTTAACTGGATTTATTCAGGCTCAGCTCTCCTGGAAATACTGCCAGCTTTTATGGTACTTGAAGGAAGAGCAAGGTGATCTGCAAGTTATTTTTGTTAATGAGAGTCCTGGTTTACAGAAGCCAAATACTCCCCAATACATGGACGAAATACAAAGGCAAGCTTCAGTTACAGTTCTTGTGTTTGGGGTGCTTGGGATTATCAGTCTTAAGGCTTTTCTCAAGTACACTTGTCTGTAATAAAGAAGGGGTGGGAGGTGTTCTTGGGTTCCACTCAACTGAACAGGCTAAAACTTTTTTGAAAGTTAATTGATTTGTAGTCTGAGTAAAAGTTACTTCTGAACAGAGGGTCATGAGTTAACAGAGGCAGAGTGTTTCACTGACATGGTGGATTTTGCTGCTGCAGCAGTTCTGAACTGTTAAAATTGCCACAGCTGCCTCATTGTGGCTGAAGCAGAAAAATGTCTAAAGCCTTCTTGATTTCAGAAACATACAGATAAAATCCAGAAGCCCAGTTTGGGTTAGACTTTGTTGATACCTAGTGAGGCCTGAGTAGAATGTCTTCCTGAGTTCTGTAACTCATTCCTGACAAAAAGCTTCCCACTGGTTTTCCAGAGCTGTATTGTGGAGGTGGATGATTTCCTGTCTGCCACCTTCTCCCTCCTCCTCATCCTCCCCCTCCTCCTCCCCGGCTTTGAGCCTGCTCCTCTCCTGTCTGGACTCTGGCTGACTCTTCCACAGCAGAAATTAAGCTTATTTTCTGGCAAATCACTTAAATCCTAAATCAGCATTTAGGGACTGTGTGACTGTAGTGCTTCCCAATCCCAGTGAGTCATGTTGGCAACCTGTGTTTCTAACACATCATCATCTGCAAATATTTATAGACTGCTCTGTTTTCTTCTGTCATGACATAATAATAAGCAATGAAATACTGATTTATCTATGTATTTATGTATTGAATAAATTCTACCCTTGTATGTAATTTAGAAAAAATGTACTTAGATACCAAGTGGTGGTGCACTTCATCTTCAGCTGTTTCTTTACAAGGAAGAGGTGAGAGAAGTAGGATGCTAAGCAAACCAAAATTCACTTCATTGGCAGGTATGCTTCCCAAAGTGTGCCAGACTGAAATCCAGTAGTGTAGCTGGTAGACTAATGCTATAAACAATCATATACCAGGACTGCAGATTTGGGAAGAAGCATTCAGCAGGGAATTTGCACTTGAAAATGATTCCCCTCAAACCCTAATCTGGTTTGGAGGCAAGGTGAGCCAGAGGGTGACATTTGAGAAACACATGGGATTTGGACTATGGGGGCAGTTGGGAGACAAGTGTGACTTGGCATTTGCTGATAAAAAAAGAAAACTTTGAAGCCAATTGTTTGCACAAATCTTCAATGTATTTTAGTGATTTACCTTCCATACCTAACTCTCTGCTCTTAGATCAGTTAGCAACTTTTAGTGCCAGTGTTGGAAAGTGAAGGAAGGAGGAAATGCCCCAACATTCTCCCCACCAGCTCCCAGACATTCCCTCGCAAATGCCCATCAAACCAGTGATGCAGAAGCAATCCCTCACCAGCTCTCCATGCACACCTGGCACTGTAGCTGTGTACACTGGCTTTGCCAAAACTGTTGCTGATGGAATTTTGTATAATAGCAGTGAAAAGTGTAACATTCTTATAACACTGTATTACATACTTTGGTTCTTCTCTTACTGGATTCTGCTCCCTTTATGTTTCTTTACATGCTTTGTGTAAACCCTTTAAAAAATGATACCTTGTGTTGTGGTAAGCTTTAAATGCTCTTGGATGGCTGGAGAAACAAGACCTTTGTATAATTTTGAAAATGTATTTTCTCCAACAAACAACTTTTAAGTTACTTTAAAGTAAAAATTTGAAGACCACTGTTTGAGTTTATCAAAGTGATGATACCTCTGGCAGTGTTTTGAGCTTATTTTTGTTACATAGGGGTTTTTGCATAAAATTTGGTGATTAGACTGAGCAAGTGGTATGACATATTAAATCTTGGTTTTGATAGATTTCCAGAAGAAACAGCCAGACGATGACTCTACTCCCAGCACAAGCAACAGCCAGTCAGATTTGTTCTCTGGGGAAACGAACAGTGACAACAGCAATACCTCTCTAACCATGCAGGCCGCTAACTCCAACCAGCAACTTTTGACAGAACTGAATGTAACTTCACCGAGCAAAGAGGAATGTAAGTGCACGAGTCCGAAGTGAAAGCAAAGGAGGCATAACAAACATTTTGCTTTGTTCTCAGGTTTATCTTTTACTGACTTCCTCTGGAAGTTAATCACCTGGATTTTGGGGTGAAGGGGAAGGTTGGAAGCTATTCACAAAATAGACATTGATGGCTTTAACTGAAGAACAAACAGAGTTTTTAACTAACTTTACATTTGATATATTATATTTCATGTATATGTAAGCCATTTTATGTGTGGGAAAGAATTTAATTGTGAGAAACTCCTCACATTAATGATAAATTCATATGTATATTCTAGCATCAACACTAGTATCTTGTGAAATCTGACTTTTAAACATGTTGGTTTTTAATTACTGTAGTTGCACATAACGCTGATTGTAATGCGTGTTGTCTAGACTGATAGTTGCAAATAAGTTGCTTCATGTGGTAATTTATCTGTTTTTTCAAGATCTATCTTTTGTCTTTGTTGAACTCTCAGGCAAAAATTCTCTCTGAAGGTAAGTGAGAATGCTTAGCAAACACAGTGAGATAAAACTGACTTTTAAATTATTCTTAACCTCTGTATAAAGTTCATCTTGCATCTAATATATTGAGTTGTAAAATCTGCATTCTACAACCTAAGCTCCAGTGTGTAATTCGTAGCTTCATTTTTCTCTAGTTTTAGATTTATTTTAGAAGGGTTATTTAATTTTAATAATTAAATTGTGGAGAGATAATAATTAATTATGGAGAGAAACCCTCTTAAGCTGAGATTACTTTAGGTTGTGGCTACTGAATAGATTAGCACATTGCAAGAAAATGCTTGTTTTTCTGTAGGAAATCTACAACAGCTACTCTGGTTCTTGAACATTTAGGCAACTGCTGAAATAACAATGTTGACAAGGCACTAGGACTAAAATATCTTGCTTTCAGTTGTGTTAACTCTTTGCTTAGGATGGTTTTGCTGAGTTGTCCAAGTATTTATTCTGTTTATAGGTATGAAGAGTTTTTCATTATGCAGGTTGGCTGTGGACAAAGCATAAAATGTAATTTTGGGATTGTGGTGGTTTATAAGACTAACTAAAGTAAAACTTCTAAACTGTGAAGTTGTTATCTATCCATATTTGAGAAAATTGTCAGAAATACAAGTGCTCAAATGTGAGTTTCTGTGACGAGTTCTTGTCGTAAGACTAACCTTGCTGTGTAACTCTTGTCTCTGCTTTGGGTACACAGTTGCTGCTGAGCACCCTTCCATGTTGTCCTTCTGTTCAGTGCTTCTTCAGGGAAAATTGTAGCCTGCTGTAAAAACAAGGCCTTAAATCAAGCTTCCTGGGGAATTCAGGAAAACACATTACGCTTCACCAACACATTTGGGCATTCACGGTGCAGGGGACTTAGAGCACCTTGCTCTATTGCTAGCCTGTGTCATAGGGTGCTTCTGTAGTGCTTACTGGGTCAGCTTTTCTGAAAATAAGTTCAGGTAGAAATGAAACTGGTTTACAACAAAGTGTTCCTATTGTGACTGAGAAAGACTTGGTAAGTGGGAAGGTGATTACAGGAATGGGAAAGAAATTAAATAGTGTCCTTCGTCCTGAATTGCTGGGAGGTTGTGAGCATACACTAAACATGATGGATATAGGCAGTACAGCCTGCAGAGCATTTGAAAACATTGCCTATTAAAAAAACTCTCTTTATGACTTCCTGCTGGGATGTTTTTAAGTGAAATGCAGTGGAGAGATTTATTTACAGCTCTGCCTGTTTTCATATCCCCACTACCTCTTTAATGAAGCTTAATATTATTTATCAGAAATAACTATGTACAGATAGAGATTTTCTGATGGATAATGACCTCATTGTGCAAGGTTCTTTCCTTTAATGAAGAATGGCCAGGATTAAATGTCTCTAAGATTTTAGTTTGAGGTTATCTTTTTTTGTGCAATATTTATTTATTTTGCAGCATGTTCTGTAAAGTATGCACTGCTGTTAGTACAGCTGTGTTCTTTAAAGTCTGATACTTCTCACTGCCCTGTGATGACATACAGCTGTGTTCTGTTCTGAACAGAATTGAGGTAATTCACCAGAAATCAACTGTGGAATCACTATGGTAATCCTTATCCAAGTGTGGGAACAGTGATCTAATAGGGAAGGACCCTCATACTTCATTCCACTCGCTTCTCTTTCCTTTCAAGATTTTGTAGAGAATCTTGCATCAAAGCACTTGCCACAATACTTAAGTCCACAGGGTATACAAAGGGGACAAAATTGCAGCAAGTCATTTAGGCAATTAAAGTCATTCATGTTACAACTGAAGAAAACCATAGAAATCACATGTGGCAAGATTCATACTCTGTATCAGAGAAAGGGAAAGGGTTTTTGTACTTGTTTTTAAATAGCTATTTCCTTTTTATCACAGAATTAATTATATAGGAGAAAATTTCTTTGAACTATATTTTGCAGTTCAGCTTGACATTGTGCAAGTATTTGTGTGTTTTTTTTGTTACTGTTTTGATTTATGTGAGAGTTGCATTTGCATTCCTGAGTGTCTTACATATACAACCAGGTTGTAGTGACTTTCCATCTTCCACCAGCCTCAGTTCTGAAGAGTTACCTACCACAATGGCTGATGTGCCTTCTAATATCTCTCTCCCTTACAGGTGAATATATTTAATAGTTAATATTATAGTTAATATTATATTTACAGTCAACAAAAATGTGACAAAGAAATTTTTACCCAGTAGTTTTCAGTATTATTTACAGTCAACAAAAATGTGTTAAAAATTTATACCCAGAGACAATGACACAACCTCAGTAATTTTTTTCCCCTTGTTCACATGTGTTTGATCTTTTATGATCTATTACTAATCATTACTTTTTTAAAATTCTGTTGAAATTGGTGAGGGGGGAATTCTGTGGAAATTTTTTTTTCCCCCTTCACATATACTTCTTGAGTTGCCTGTTTCTATCCAAAATGTTCAGGTCTCACCAGTTGCAGTAAATTTGCTGAAATAAACTTGCAGACAAAGAGTAATATTGATATTGGTATAGCTCTGGTTAGTCTAGAGCTGGATGGATTTTACTGATCCATTTCTTAACAGGTAGTTAAATCAGTCTAATTTTTGTTCTGCTGCTGCTTTATGTGCAGATAAGTTTAATCTGTTCACAATTTTCCTTCCATCTCCTCCTTTCATTTAGGAGCTCCTAATGGTAGCTATTTCAGCATCAGTCACTGTATCAGCCAGTTCCTCTGTCAAAGATTTCCTTTTCATATTGGGTGGGCAAGGTTTTTGATTATCTTTAGCAGACAGGAAAAAATGGATTTGACAATGGCCCTCACTTCTCAATGTCCTTACCTTCACCCACCAACATTATTTAAAAAAAAACCAAAAGCAGCTTATTAAGCAAGGTTCTATGTATTTTGGTAGAGAAAAGGTCACACTGCACATGGAATAATTTTGCTTACTTTCAGGCCTTCAATGCTTTCTTTGGGGCTGTCACATCATTTTTCTGTCACTGTATGAGCAGAGCTAAAGCTGGTTCTGTGCAAGTTTGAAATGAACTGTGTTGTTATGTGACAGGAGAAATGTCGATGTGAAGAACACTGACTCTGGCAGCTTGATCAGATTTGGTATTTCAGTAGTTTTTAGCTTCGGCTGACAGGATTTTATTTTAATTGTGTGCTTAACTTTTCTTGGCCTTCTTGAATAGCAAAAAAACACAATTGAGAAAAAGGACAAAAGGAATAGCTGCTGTTTCTAAAAGTGTTAAATGCTCTTCATTTCTGTGTTGAAGAATTTATAAGAAGATAAACTAAGATCTGAGCTACTGCTGTGAATGTCAGAAAATACATTGGAGATTTCAGCCCAGAAAGATTGTGATGATCACTGACCACACCTTACCTCTCTGTGTGCTGAATTTTAGATGCCCAGATACAAAGGTATTTCATGACTGGATGTCTCTAAATTTTGGCTAGTTTCTGTATACCCTTCAGAATTTAGGCCATTGCATATCACAACTAAAACGCCTTTGTCTTGAACATTTAAATTTGCAAGATAAGGTTAGAAAATGCTTTATAACATCATTTATTTTATTAAGCATTTGTGTGCAGTAGAAGCACTGAAATACCCCCAGTTATGGAGTAATTTTAGTGAAGTTAGTGTACATTAAGTGTATTTGTCCTGAGACAGAGAAGCAGTAGGCTTCTATAAGAGATATTGGGCAGAAAGGTGAGAGATTGTTTCTCCTACTGCACCTATTGGATGTTTGTACTGTGAATTTTAGAGCTTGTTGAAGCATGACTGTGTAAAAAGCCACATAGGCTATAGCACTCAAAAAGTAATGGTATTTTTTCTCTTTGGAATAAAATAAAAATATATGTCATTTTTTTCAACATAACTTTGTGAAAAATGGCTAAACAAGTACATTCTTTCTTTGCTTCTTTTTTGCAGAACAGCCCTTTCTCTGACACTACGCAGAAGGTTTCTAACAATTTATTACAACTTCATGGTTTTTGTATTTTGCTTGGGTTTGTGAATAGAGTTCGAGATGACAGCTTTTCTATGTTTGCTGTGAAAATACTTCATATTTTGAGTTATTATGATGACATCCCTAACTTCAATTTGTGCTTTTTAAGGAGAGTGATTTTTTAAATGACAGTTGTACTTGGATATTATTCATTGTATATTTTTTTTAAATGACCTGACTTTGAGAATTCAGTAGGAGTCAGTTTTGTACTTCCTTTCTTCATTTATTTTGGGTTTTTTTTCAGGTTTATTTTTTTTTTCTGGGGGGTGGGGGCTGGTTTTTTGCTTTGTTTTGGGTTTGGTTTGTTTTTTTCCTAATTGAGTCAATGAGGAGCTTTGTTCTCTGGCTCATCTCTGACTGAAGGTTATGTGCATATCCACTTCTGTAACAGTAAATGTATAAACAGACAAAGCTAGCTGCCTGGTTTTGTCTTGCTCATCAAAAATGGTTGTAGAAAGTAATTTGCTTTGTTACTAACCTGATTTATTCTCAAT